AATTGAATAGAAAAACAGGAGCAGTGGAAAGAGCTATTCAGCTATCGGGCTAGCGATCAACAATGGACAGTACTGTTTTCATTAATTGAGCTCGACTCGACTTCAAAAGATTTGAACGATTTGAGGGAGTGATATGACTCTTAGTGACTAAGTGCATGCAAGCAGAGCTCAAAAAATGTCTTCTCCTTGTGTGTTGTTCCCTTCCTTTGATGACGACGTCATCTGTAAGCGGGGGTTGATCATTAATAACGCTCTCCACCGGCTGTGCGGATGACCCGCTACTGTTCGGGTAAAGCATTGCCATTGTTCCTTTCTTTTCTCTCCCTATGTGCCAGTTCGCAATCGCCTGATGTCTAATGAGAAAACCTTTTTGAGGGATGGTTGCAGGGGAGTAGTCCAGAAAAGGGGAAAGTGCTATGCGTGGATCAGATGTGGTTCTCGGCCGGATGTTGTCATCTTGAGCCCGAGAAAGACCTTATATAAGGACTTTCCACGATTAGCATTTCCCAGTTTTTGGAGCAGCTTGGTGAATGTTGGACCGCCCATCAGCGTTAGATTGTCATTTTTGTTGATCATATGTCTCTGCTACTCGGAAGGAGTTGTCTAATTAGGTGAATGATAATGACTGAGCGGGGAAAATACGACTCGGGGTTAAGAAGCAAGGCAGATTGAGCGATGGTTATGTGACCCTCTCAGACCGTCTGTGTAGGTCAAGCAACGGTCCTCCGTCTTGAGGTGTATGCTCAAGTCCTACCAAGAAGGGCAACACTTATAAACGCGGTCAGAGAGTCTAATTTACTCGTTTGAAAAAGGGTCTGGAAAAATCGGTGTTGGAAAGGTTTGTAACTATACGGATTTAAGGTCGCGCAAGCACCCGAGTATTCATGCAGTCTTACTACCATGTTCCCCCGAACACAACGCACCCTTATTTTGTCTATATCTGGCCGGAAATATAGCTTGTATACATTCATTTTTAGGGTGCGTTATGTTCGGGGGAAGACGGTAGTGTGTGATCGTACGGGCTTATGGGCTCTCACGTGATCATACAAGTGTGCAGCTGTGTGAGTTTGCCAGTACGGCGACCTCGTGATCAGATTACCATACAGGTCTGCAGGCCCTTGCGACTGAAAGAGTCCGTGAGTGAAGCGACTGCATGAGTGTGTGCAGTCGTATCGATCTGTAAACGTGCGAATCAGCTTGGACACTCGTGCATTAGCTCAATTATGAGAGCATTCAAATGCTCATATAAACCTACGGGTGCATGACCAGTAAAAGGGGCCATCGGTCAAGTCCTCTGTTCCTAGCGACCAGTATGCTCCCCTTGAGAGCCGAGGGTGAGTAATGGACCGGAAGGGAAGAAAGCGACAGTTAAGAAAAGCAGTCTATTTAATTGTTAAGTTTTTACTCGACAGGGACTGATGCCAGTAGTGATTAGTACCCGAGTGAGGTCAAGAAATTGACTAATCCAACGGGGATGACGATACAGTTTTTACCCGCCGTATGACATTGTGAACGAAGACAGGGGTCGAGACTTAATTTCTAGCATACTCCAGTTTCCCCCCCTGATACTGAAGAGTTTCATAGCAGGAGACAGATCATGATAAATGTCATGAAATTGTTCCGCACTCGGAAGTAGATCGTGGACACGAGTCATTGATCAAGCAAAACTTCACAATTTTCACCTGGCTTCCTGTAGTTGCATAAGTATCTTGCAGTTCAAGAAACAAAAACAGGTGCAGCGCGGACTCGTTTCTGTTTATTCTGCAGACGAGCCCTATTCCTGGAGACAAAACTACATAATTAACCATTATATGGTTCAGCTAGACCCCCTATATGGTACCGACGGACTCCAGGGTTCGAGTCGTGTGTTCGAGTAGTACTGAGAGAGGACACCCAGATGGGTAGGCTCGAGGCGGGTACCACCAGGTGAGGGAGCACACTTTTCTGCTCAACTCAGTCTCGCCGGGTCTGAATTGGCCTCATGCTTGGAAGTGGTTCTCCCGTGTACAGGATTGGCTATGAGATCTAGGTCTATACAAACGAATGAAAATCAGATGTTAAGGCTCGAGACAACTCGATAAACAGAAGAGTTCCTAAGCCGGCCCTCCACTACCCTCTAAGCTTAACGACGTTCAGACTGTCCTAGTTTAAGGCGGCTGCGGAGAGCCTGTTGTTGCCAGGTAACATGAACTGGCGTAGTATGTATGGACAGGTATCTCATCTTGGGGGAACTCGATATTGATTTGGTTGCTGTTGGGATAACATGAAACGGTAACTGAGACCTGCACCTGATAGACACTAGAAGGTCTCCTGGTACGCTTGCCATTGCACGAGTCCGCCCACCCCCTTTTCTCCTCCAACTACTCACAAGTCTGTCTTGAATGAGGGATAAGGAAAATGTGAGGGACTCACATGTGTTAGCCAACTGGGCAAGGCTCATATATGCTGACAACCACCTTTAGCAGGATATTGGGGGCACAGCAGTTGCTGTCACTTACGGTGTGTGATAGCCAGGTGGGCTGAACCCCTTTCGTTGTCAATTGATGAAAACTGAGGTTACAACATCGAAAAAGCAAAACAAAAAGGGGGTGTCAAACACAACTATATTGTACATCCCCGCCCGTAGTAAGGTTGATAATGATAAAAGTAGGGCAGATCTGGCAACGGCAACCGATCAAACAGTGGAACACGATATTCTAGTTAACGTTTGCAACCTGAGTGTAGAGAACAGACTTTCGCTTCGATTGTGGAACCCGCCAGAGCTATCTACAAGCCTACTCTACTCATTGATTGGCTGGAATGTGAGAGGGATCATGAGAGAAGAGGAGATTTTAGTGATGAAGTACAGATTGAACCGGGAGAAGAGAGAGGAATGGGAAGAAGAAGCATGCCTGGATATGGAACTGCACCGACAGGCTCAGAGAGGGCACGCAGTCCAGCTAACTAATGAAAAGAAATTTATCAAGTATGTATTTTATTTTTATGACTATAATGGCAAATTGCACAGCACAGGCTCATTGCTGGAAACAGAGGAGCAGGCCAGGGCGAAGCTAGGGTGAGCAAAAAGGTGCCCGAACTTCCCCTCTTGAAGCTCTTACCTGCATTCCAATCAGCAAATGTTACTCAACAATCTGCAATTCTACCGTTATCCCAGTCAGCAAGTATCTCTCAATGTTTTGAAGTTTTCACAACATTTCGGTGCCTAGTGTTCAGAACTCGGTGATTTGCTATTCAATCAGCATTCAATCAGCACTCAACTGGCATTCAATCAACATCGAACCGTCCGGGTTACTTTCCCAGTCAGAACCAATCAGCAATCAGCCATCCTCATTTGCCTCATCAGTATCCTCTAGGCAAAACTCTCGTTGAAAGACGCAGAGATCAGTCTCAACACCCACTTCAGCACATGAATGCAGTCCAGTCTTTTCCTGTCAGTGAGTCAGTCTTGGCCAGCCTTAACAAGATAGCCCTTAAAGATGCAGTTCAGTATCGGTACATCAGTGCAGTTGGTTTCAGACAGATCGACCTATCCATTTTTTTCGTTCTCACCAGGTTTGCAGCAGGCACCATCCTCGACCTGAGACTCGACGTGAAGAGAGGCAAAGAGACTCATGAACACTTCGACTCAGTTTGGATCTCAGCAACCAGGTAGAGAGTTTGATGAGAGTGGGACAAAGCTGATTCGCAGCTTCGGACCCAAGCTTTACACCGACTATCCCAGGCCTCCAGTTCCTTTCACTCTCACAGATGGTTCTTGCTGGGGAGACCTGGTAGATTTGGCCAAGAGGTACATTTCACCTGCAGCGATCGATTACGAGGCGGTGACTGAACCATCAGAGTTCCAACATCTCAGACGAGGGATCTTCTCTCAACCATATCTCCCTACACTATGGGAGGAGTTTTGTGCTATGGTTGACTCTCCAATCATGGGCACCATGTAACGATGATGATGATGTATGTTCAGGGCTGCATTGCAATATTGATTGTTCAAATCATTGGTATCTAAGTCTTCCGCTACGCCATCTTGTACTTTGTATTGAGAGGCCGGTTCTTGTTCTGGTCTGCACCGTTACAGTATGCAACAGTTTGGTATCGGAGCGGACCTCTCATTCAGAGGACCCGCTCAATCAAGAAGCCAGCTTGCTTGATCTATTGATCACTCATTAGTAAACCAAGTAGGACTTCGTCAAGTCTCTGAAGAAAAAAAAAAATTATCGCAACAACTATCTGAAAATTTCTGATATTCGCATTTCGTTTTACCTGAAAATTTCTGATATTGGTATTTCGTTTTCACGTAACAAATATCTGAAAATTTCCGATAACTCGCACTTCGTTTTGTCTGAAAATTCCTGATAGTAGCATTTCGTTTCTCTGATATTTCGCATACATAGCTGAAATTTTCTGATGTTAGTATTTCGTTTTCTAGGCTTATTGGGATAACGATAGAAGTGGTCATATTCTCGGAAACCGAAATCATTCTTTTCTGAAAATCGAATTTCCATTCTATCTCGCAAATTTTTCTGAAAACCGAAATCTTGCGAAGCCTACCAACATTTCGATAGGCATATTCGGAGGTTGCCATATTCTCAGATACAGGATTTAGTTCTTTTCTGAAAATCGCATCTCTATTCTATCTCGCAAAATTTATTTTTTTTCAAGATCGCATTTTGTGAAAGTCGAAACTTTGCAGAACCTAGCCTAAAGCTCGTTCATAGTACTCTTCTGACATGTCTCACTCATAACAGATCGACAGATATACAAAAAAAAAAAAAAAAAAAAGGAAGTAGTCCTCTTTTATTTTTATTTTATTTTTATCTGTTCATTAGGGCCGGGAGGAAAGTATTGTTGGGTTGGTTCCCTACCTGCCTTTTCCCTCCCCACCCACCCTCTGCATGCATTTCCGGGTTGGTACAGTGCCACGTCAGCAACAGTGCCACGTTAGCAACAGTGTCATGTCAGCAGTGCCACGTCAGCAGTAACAGTGCCACGTCACAGTGCCACGTCAGCGGTGCCCTGCCACCATGACGGGCACAGCTCTGGGCATGCCAGGCCAACTGGCCAACGAGTCTCTTGCTGACTACAAAAAGCGGTTCCAGGCTCAGCTCGCTCTGATCGAGGCTGAGGAACAATGCCAGCTGGCAGCCGAGGCTGCCCGCCTACAGGCTGAAGCAGCGGCAACAGCTGAGAAGCAGCAGCTACAATCCGAAGCAGACGCAGATGCCCAGGCACGCCGCAAGGAAGCCCAGGATCTGCTGCGGCGGCATGAAGCTGCCAGCATCGAAAGACTCAAGTTCTGGCACTTTCAACCGTCCAACGGCGACGACGCGACACCGGAAGAGCAGCATAAGGAGTTCCTCTCCAAACTCGTGACACAGTTGTTGTATGCTTACAACTACCAACAGTCCGAGTTAGAGAGACAGAACCACGAACTGCAGCAACAGTACCATGATCTGAAGACACAGCACCAGGAGTTGGCGAACCTCCGTCGGATAGTGCAGAGCCACGAGGATGCTACACGGGCACTCAATTCCCATGTACTGGACCTGGAGCAAGTCGTACCAGGACCAGATGCTGGTGAGTCCAGCAGTGCACCATCTAACTGCCAACTGGAGCAAGGCGTCGACCACGTCGTCGCAATGCTCGGCAACATCAACACCTTCGATGCGCCGACCACCATCAGCAATCATCTGGATACTTTGAAGACCGAGGTCCCGCAACTGCAGCCGACGAACACGGATGGCAACAATCCAAAGCAATACAAGATGCCCAACTTTTCAACTTGAGAAGTTCGACGACTACACGCATCAGGACCCGGTGCTCTGGTGGGAAGCTTTCACGACGCAACTTCGGATTCTGCATGTCGCCAAGCACGCGTACATCGGCGCCCTATTCATGAACTCAAAGGGCGGATGCCAGATCTGGTTAACACATCTGGCAGCCACCCACTGCGTCGACTTCGCAGATCTGAGAGACAAGATCACATGGGAAGAGTTAACACGGCTGTGGAAGAAGCGGTTCATCGTCGACGACGCACCAGCACTCGTCATCAACTGTCTCTTCACCATGACTCAAGGCAACACAGCAACACGTGACTGGCTCACGAAATGGCAGAAGATCGCGGCAACGCCCGATCTTGACTTACCATTTCCGCATCTGCGTCGTGAGTTCTATAACAGGTCATGCGCTGCATTGAGCCAGGCACTTGGTGATCGCGAGCAGTATGCAACTTCCGCTGAGATTATTGACAAGGCGAGAGAGATCATCAAGACCAACAGGGCGGCTGCACACGAGGTCAGCGTGGCAGCCAACCTATGTGGAGAAGGTGAAAACTGGTCCGCGACAGCAGCAGTTCGCTGCAGTCCATTCGGAAAACACTGTGGAAGACCCGGCAGCCACCCAAGCGTCACGAGAGGGAGATCAGGTGGCTGCTGTCCAGCCGCGAAGCAACATCAAGTCCCGAGGAAACGGGAAGACGAAATCAGCATCGCAGGCCAGAAACGGACAGCCAGAACCACCATGGGTCAAGTTCAACTTGACCGAGGCCGAGTACAAGTACCGCGGCCGTTACGGCTGCTGTTACTGATGCAACAGCACCAAGCACAAGACCTCCCTTCGCCAGGATCAGGCCAAGGAGGATGTGCGGCCTCGTCTTAACTCGGGAAATTGAGTTTCGCGGGAGGTGAGGCGACTCCACCTCCCACTCCCCCAGATTCGGCCGCCTTGCTAGCGGCCTCCTACACATCTGGGGAGGATGCGAATGTCGTAAGTTCTCGGTATGCTTACGAGGACTATGCTGTCCACTTGGTCCCACCGCTGGACCAACCGCTCCACGTGCAACAATCTACCGCATGCACGGTTTCATCACCATCGGCAACCGATTCGGCAACTTCGCCGCCATCTACCGCGGGGGATTCAACGTCATGGTCAAGACTTGAAGAGCTCGACCCGTTGACATTTGCGGACTTCCAATGGATGCCCCTTCCCCGGTCCAGTCGATTGTCGAAACCGCATTGCATCGTGCTCAAGGCACAATTGCGGGATTACTTGCACACTGCAGTACCGACTCCGTTGATGGACGCCGGAGTAGAGGTTGTCGACCTTCACGCCTACATTGCGAAGATCGACCGCGAGTTCAAGACGCAACGGTATGAGGACATCGACGCACCATTGCTATATGTACGCATTCAGATTGGAGAGGCGACCTGCAACGCTTTGATCGATTGCGGAGCATCTCGCAACTACATGAGTCAGGACTTCATGGTACGCGCCGGCCTTGGCCCACGAGTCCGAAGGAAGTCCCAGCCCACGCAAGTCACGTTGGCGGACGATCACACGCACAAGTCAATCGATCGGTGCATTGATGACGTCCCAGTGTACTTTGCCCCTCACGCACGTGAGGCGGTGTCCTTTGACATTTTGGACACCAAATTCGACATGATGTTGGGCATGTCATGGCTGCGAAGCGAGGATCACCCGATGAACTTCTACCGCCGCACCGTTCACGTTCGTGATCGGAACGGAGTACTACTCCCATGCACGGTAGCTCCTCCTCACCCTTCAGTCAACTGTCGCGTGGTATCCGCCGCAAGCATGCGAGCTTCCATCATCAGAGACGACATCGAGGAGATGGGGGTGTGTTTTCTCCACGCCCTCCCGCCCCATGACGCTTCACCAACGGACCCATCTTCGGATCCACGCATCACCGAGCTTCTCGACGCCTACGGCGATGTGTTCGAAGGCCCGCACGGAGTAGTACCGGATCGGCCCATCCGCCACGAGATCATCCTCGAGGACGGGGCCGTACCTCCGCGCGGTTGCATCTACTGAATGAGCGAGGAAGAGTTAAGTGTGCTTTGGGCACAACTCGACGACCTTCTGGAGAAAGGTTGGATTCGGCCTAGCTCATCGCCATACGGTGCGCCTGTTCTCTTCGTCCGGAAGAAGAACAAGGATTTGCGGTTGTGCATCGATTATCGCAAGCTCAACGCGCAGACGATCAGAAACGCCGGCCCTCTCCCACGCATCGACGATCTTCTCGAGCGACTGGGCGGCGCCAAGTTCTTCTCCAAGCTCAATCTCAAGTCGGGATATCACCAACTCGAGATTCGGCAGGAGGACCGCTACAAGACCGCGTTTAAGACGTGATATGGGCATTTCGAATGGCTGGTTATGCCATTTGGCCTTACGAATGCCCCGGCCACTTTCCAAGCGGCTATGACAACGGAGTTCCGACACATGCTGGATCGATTCGTACTTATCTAYCTCSACGACATCCTGGTGTACAGCCGGAGTTTGGACGAGCATGTGGAACACCTGCGCACCGTTTTGGAGCGGCTACAACAAGCCAAGTACAAAGCCAACCGCGACAAATGCGAATTCACGCGGCAGGAGCTGGAGTACTTGGTACACTATGTGACGCCGCAAGGCATCCGTCCGCTTGCGGACAAGATCGAGGCCCTACGAGTATGGCCCGAGCCCACCAACACCACGGACGTTCGTTCATTCATGGGGTTGGCGGGCTACTATCAGCGATTCATCACCGGATACTCAAGGATTGCTGCACCTATGACGAGATTACAATCGCCAAAGGTGCCATTCGTATTCGATGACGACGCATGCCGGTCATTCCAAGCACTCAAGACGGCCATGCTCATGGCACCCGTCCTTAGCATTTATGACCCCACCCTGCCTACGAGAGTGACGACTGACGCTTCCGGCTATGGCATTGGGGCAATCTTGGAACAGCACGACGGCGACGACTAGCACCCTGTGGAGTATTTCAGCCACAAAGTGCCTCCCATCAACTCGCTTGATGATGCACGGAAGGAGCTGCTCGCATTTGTTATGGCTCTCAAGCGATGGCGGCACTTCCTCCTTGGGCGTCGTAGGTTCACATGGGTCACAGACAACAATCCATTGACCTACTACAAGACGCAGGATACGGTGAGCAGCACGATCAGACGATGGATGTACTTCATCGACCAATTTGACTTCACACCGAAACATCCTCCCGACCTCTCCAATCGCACAACAAATGCACTCTCACGAAGACCTGACCTTTGCGCTATGATACATCATGCCTTCGCATTCGACAAGGAGCTCCAGCGACACTTCATCAGGGGCTACGAGTCCGATCCAGACTTCGCCACGCTATATGCGCAACTATCTTCGGATCACCCGCCGGCCAGCCACTGTCGCATCGCCGATGGGTACTTGCCCCTGCACTCGCGGGGCAATACTTACTATGTGTCCCACGCGACCACCGTCTTCGGACTCACCTTCTCGGCGAGTATCATGACTCACGACTCGCCGGCCATTTCGGAGTCAACCGCAATATTGCACGGCTTCGACAACGATTCCGATGGCCTGACCTCATCACCGACGTCACAAGTTATTGCGATTCTTGCGAAGTTTGCCGACGAAACAAACCCCCCAACCGCAACCCCTACGGCGAGCTGCACCCGATGCCGATCCCGCAGGAACCCGGTCTCTCCATTGCCATGGATGTCACCGGACCATTCCCCCGCGACCGCCTCGGACACGACGGCATCCTCACTGTCGTGGACCAATTGAGTAAGTACGCGCGTTTTCTCCCTTGCAAGTACTACTCCACGGCTCCCGAGTTGGCACGCCTCCTGCACACCGGCTGGATTTACGGCCATGGTCTACCGGAAGACATAGTCCGCGACCGCGACACTCGCTTCATGTCGGCATTTTGGACTGCACTCATGCAGGAGTTCGGCACAAAGATGAAGCCAAGTTCGGCTCGGCATCCACAGACAGACGGGCAGACGGAGCGGGCACATCAAACCGCTCAAATGATGCTTCGTACGCTCATCCGTCCGGACCAAAAAGATTGGGTTGACCGCCTCCCCGACATCGAGTTTGCCTACAACACTTCGGTGCCGCTTGCTCTCCCGCTTTCGTCCGGAAGTACAGGGAATTGCTGGCTCAAGCCCACGCGGATATGCAAAAGGCTCCGCATGCAGCAGCAAGCCAACAGGCATCGCGAGCCACGTCCCATCCGCGCCGGCGACCTGGTTTGGGTTTCCGCGAAAGAGTTTGCACTGAAACAGGAGGTCTCACGCAAACTGCTTCCCAAGTGGTTTGGACCATGGCCCGTAACATCAGCCGCAGGCGATGAGCCCGATGGCCCTTCATTTGTGATCAACATCCCCCCGCATCTGACGGTCCATCCAGTCTTTCACGCCTCAAAGCTGGCAACATACACGCCAACTAAGAGCGACGACTTTCCGGGCCGACGATCGCAGGACCCTCCTATGGACGGTCATCAGGAAGTTGACCACGTCATCACCGATCGCAAGTACGGCAGCAAGCCTCGACAGTACAAAGTTACATTCAAAGCCTGTGATCGCGACCACACTCGGTGGATTTCAGGAGCAGATTTGAAAGCATCCGCACCGCTGATCTACGCGCATTACGAGAAGCAAAGGTTAGCTCAGGAAGCTTCACAACCGGCCCCTCCCACCCGGACTGTGGTCCCTCCCTCAGACAGACAGCTTCGTCCTTGCAGGTAAGCTCGGTCTTTCAAGGAGGGGGGGGTGTGGCATACTGCGTAGCCACACGGCCCGTCCCGCACTTTCATCCTAAAAGCCTAGAAAATAGGGCTTACAGGCCCCGATCATTTCAGCCTGAAACTGAAAAACGAGGGCCTGCAGGCCCTGTTCCGTTTTCAGCCTATTTCTGGGCCTTTCAGGCCCAGAGGCTTTTCAGCCTGAAACGGAGGGCCATTCTCAGGCCCTCATAAGATGGACCTACCCTAAACCTCAGGCACAAAACCAGGGTTTTCGGAACAGGCTATCTTTAGCCTGTTCCCACGACTGCCTTGAGCAGGAGCTGCGGCGGAAGCCCATGACTGCCTTTGGCATTGGCAAGAGCAGCCTCCTGGACTGCTGCCTCGCCTACAGCCAGTCCAGGCCGAGTAGTACATAGGGGTTTCCCATGCACTTCCCAGGTAGGTAGTTGGAGTAGGCACGAGTAGTCTTCAGGATTCGGCCGCAGCACTCAGGAGGAGCGCTGCAGTAGTCTTCAGCGCTGGGCGCCCATAGCTGTAGGTGTAGTCTTCAGCGCTGGGCACTAGTAGGTGGTAGTAGTAGCATTGGAGGGAGATGGCTGGCGGAGGCCAGCGGTATTTACCTGTGGCGCCATAGCTCCAGCTCCATCTTCGAGGTACCTGCATCAAGGCGCCAACTTCACAGGTTAGTACTGGACACAGAGAGAGAGTTCTTCTTCTTCCTCTTCTAAGTCCACCATCTCTTCTCACCCTCTCACCACCTGACTTCTCAGACTACGACAGAGAGAGAGAGAGTTGTGACTTGGGACTTGACGACATTGGATCCAGACTTGACATTTGGGATTCAGACATTTCGACGAGGGACTATTTGGGCCTGTGCCGAAGACTTGGTGTTGACGACATTCCCATCTT